AGCCGCCGCCCCGCGCCCCACGAGCCCGCAACCCCTGCGGGGAGCGTCACGGAGCCCAACTCTGGGCTTCTCGAGCCTAAGGATCCAAGCACAGTGCGCGACCAGCCCGGCCCATACGCCACTGATGGCAGCAGCCCCGCGCCGGGCAGGACCGCCGAGCCGGGCACCTCCTTCGAGGTGCCCTTTGACTCCACTCCAAATGGTGTGAAAATCCAAGCCGGGTTTTCCACTTGATGGCGTCTAGAGGGCGTCAGCTCAGGACCCGACAAGGCGGCGGGCCGGGGAAGGTGAGCTGGTATGTGGGAAGATCTGGAGTGGAGTGATTGCCAGCGTGGAATCTGGATTCGCCACTCTTTGGCCATCACCGGAGCTCACACACAGCTGGAACCGAAATCCCTAGGTTCTCTGCCCTCGGTAGAGGACTAGGCCTAGTGACCCTCCCCACTTCAGCCCTTTCAGCCCTTGCTCATGTCGTTCTCGCAGCCTCTTCTCCACCAGCCCCTATCTCTTCCTTGTCTTCCACCTTTCAGCTGCCAGGAAGGAAATCCATCATTGCCCTTTCAACTCTGGGGCTCTTGTCAGCCCCTCTGCTGCCCAGGCCAGATCGGGAGAAGCCCAGTTCTTTACAGAATTCTGAGGGGGAAGAGAAGGGACTCTCCTCCCAAGGCTTGGATCTGAAACACTGGGAGGTTTTCAGGGACAGAGTCCTCCCTGCACACACCAACATACATTATCACTTATTCCCCACTCCCGCAGGCACACAAACACACCTCCTACACGCAGGCACAGACACAAGCTTCACAAGGTATAGGTTCTGTCCCTGCCCCTGCACAGGAGGGGTGGGCAGGAGGGCAAAATCTCTTCAGCAGTATCCTGCTCCCCTCACCACCTGTGAGTACCCTTCTCAGTTTTGTCCTCAGGCATCAGGTTTTCCAGAGTCAAGGATACTCCCAGCCTGAGAAATCCACGTAACTGACTTTATACTGCACAGCACACACTCAGTCACACATCCACCTTCCCACAGCGCCGCAGGCAGCCAGCACCCACAGGGAGAGACCTCGCCTCAACTCTCCCCTGGCACACACCCCCACAGGCCCCCTCCCCCTTGAACTCACACAGAGCCTCTCTCTCTCACACACACACATGCACCCTCACACACATATTCACCTCCACCCACCGCTTTTCCGCTTGAGAAACAGATAAGGAAATTCCCCAAGCCAACCTTCATGAGGAGTGTTCCGGTGCAGAACAGATTTCCTGGGGTTGACTGTTCTAATTAGAAACGGAAAAAGAAAAGGCATCTGTAGGTTCCAGCCCACAATTCCTCAGGCTAGAAATCCTAGCCCTCACCCCCAGGTCAAACGTCATTCTGTTCCACACACTCAGGAGTGGAGTGATCCACACTCCTCTTTTGGATTTGAAGACCCCAGAAAAATAAGCCACTCAGCTGGCCCTCCAGGGTCCACAGGTGCGCTTCTTCTCCTGCCCCAGCTGCCCTTCCCGTTGCCCCATAAAAGAACAAACCAGGCAGGCTGCCCCCTGCCCCCTCATCCCCACGCCCATCGCCACTGGGTACCCAGCTTCCCCATCCAGGTACAGCCAGAATTCCCCATCGGTGCAACTCCACAGGACTTTAGGAAGCATCTAGAATCACAGACATTTTCAGGTTGAGAAGAGGACACCTTTCAGATGACAGATGAGGAAGGATGACCCTGGGAACAAAAGGCCCCAGAGCTCACGGCCCAGGAAGCTGGTGAGAGAACTGGGAGTAGAATGCTTGGTGGACCCCCAACCTTTTACCAACTGGGATTCGAGAGAAGACCCAGTGCTTGCTCCCACCCAAGAGCTTACAGCCCGTGCCTTCAGTAAGAATTCCAGTGTCATCCACTCCCAGCAGGTACCCAGGATTGTTCCAGGATGCTGGAGCTAGGTGGGGCCTCAGACATACTAGACAAATCCCATGGTATGTAATTGTGGAAACTGAGGCTCCAGGGGACTGGGAACCTTGGGTGGTTTTTCCTTCCTGTCTGAATTATCGACACAGGAAAGGCTTTGAAGACACCTTGTCTCAGCCTCAGTCACTTTGTCTGGGGGATTCAGAGTCCTTGTACAAGGCAGTACTAGGTTTATCTTTAAATATAGTTTATCTGGCCCTGGGCTTGTAGTTCTGTCAAAATGTTTTGCTAGGCCACAGTCTTCCAAAGGGATAGAACAGTTTATTATGCAAATAAGGTATGTTAAACTCTTTCACAGGGATTGGTCAATTACCATGCAAACTAGGTGACTGTGGCCTACCAAGGGGATTGGTTAGTGTTACCATCATGCTAGTCTTAAAAGGACCAATCCCACAGAGAGTCGGGGTGGGGGGGACCTCACTACCACTGGGGAGAAGAAGGTAGAGTGGAGCTTGTCCTCTGCACTGAGGACTTCCTAGACACAGGAGACAGGAGAACTGTAACAGTGGACATGGCACTAGGGTGTGAGGTGGCATGAGGGGCGGGAACCAGGGGACGGGCGCAAGACAGCCGTGGTGGCTTCCCACAGAGAGCGAGGCAGCTCCAGTAGGCTCCCGACCCACAGGTGGCAGAGCTGAACACGCTCAGGCAAGTACTCCCTGGCAGAGTGAGGTGCCTCTGGGCACCTGATGCACTTGTAGCACTTGCCCAAGTCGGAGCAGACAGCAGAGGCCGGGAAGAAGCTGGGAGCAGTCTCGCTTGGAAGCTGTCCTGATTGACGGACTGCCTTCTGAGTTGTTTCTGTTGATCCTGATCCTGAACTGTAACCTGTTACTTCCCTAATAAACCCTGTAAACGTGGGTATGCTCTGTGAATGTGTGGCCATTGCAATGAATTTTTGAACCCAGCAGAGAAGTAAGGAGTGCTGTGGGAAGGACGGTTAGTGTCAGAATTGGTAAAAAGGTTGGAGGGTGGAGCTCAGATATACCTCCACCCAGTGTCTGATTACCTAGTAAGCAGGGTAAACACGGGTGTGCTTGAGCTTACTTACTAATGTGTAGTGAACAATTGCACGTGGGTTTTACCACATCAGTAAGCACATGCTTACCTTGCATACTGAGTGCTCCACCCCTGCCTCCACCTCACAGCAATCGACTTTGGGTTGTTTTATGTTGATTATTATTAAAGAAATTATTCATTCCTCTTAGCAAAAAGGAAAGACTATAGATGTATGTGGGAGCTCTGGTAGCGTAGTGCCTAAGGCACTTGACTGCTAACCAGAAGGCTGGCGATTCAAACCCACCAACCACTCCTTGGAAGGAAGACGGGGCAATCTACTTCCGTAGTGATACTGCCTCGGAAACCCAAGGAAGGGTCGCTATGAGTTGGGTCTGACTCGACAGCACATAACAACAACAACATAGATGTATGTGGTTCTGATGGCACAGTGGTTAAAGCATTCAACTGCTAACCAAAAGGTCAGTGGTTCAAACCTACCAGCTGCTCTGTAGGAGAAAGATGAGGCAGTCTGCTTTCCATAAAGATTTGTAGCCTTGGACCCAATGGGGCAGTTCTGCTGTGCCTTGTAGGGAGAGTCACTAGGAGCTGGAATTGACTCTAGGGCTGTGGGTTTGGTTTTGGGGCTTAATGGAGACATCACATATTCCTCATCCTGTTTTGCCTGCCAGGGAAGTTCTTCTGGGTGTCCAACCTCGAGCCATCTTGCTGCATTTGAAGGCTACTTTTTCTAACTGGAGCATCCCTGAGAGCCAAGTCAACTGTGAGTTCCTCACCAAGGACTGGGCACCGGCAGGGAATGGAGCCTTTGGAGTGAGCAGATCCTGTGAGGAAAGAGATCAGAGGGAATGAGTTGTCCCTGTCCTGCCCTCAGGTGCTGCCCCTCGCTGGGCCTGGGCCTCTGGTGCCCTGACTAGCCCCTTCCCACTCCCGATGGAAGGGGCCCAGAGAGGCCCTCTCCTTCCATGACGCTGTGTTGGCCCCCGTGTCCTGGGTTCCATGACGTGGCAGGAAACGCTGGCAGCACCTGGTTCCCCAAGGGCAGCCATGGCTCATGTCATGGACCCCTCAGGCCTGTTTCCGATCTGGTGCTATCGTCAAGGCCCAGGTGTCCTGGGTCGGCTTCAGGGAGGGATGCAAAGTGGGGAAGGACGTCCTGTCCCTCAGGAGCAGATGCCTGGCTTGCATACTCCCAAGCAGGGCCCCAGAGGCCACCTGGCTCTGTTGCTAGGCCACAGCTGGGAGGCAGGGCTCCTGAGTTCCCCTCTGGCCTTTGTGCCTGGCATGGTCTCCTGCTGCTGCCTCCCCAGGGCTCTTGTCCCCCCTCCCCCTCCCCCTCAGCCATGGGTTGAATTATTAATAAAAATGCTGACAAAGCTGTTTGTGCAACTCACGTGACAGAATATACCTCGCTCCTCAGCCCTGTCCATGTGGCACGAGCCTCGGGCGGAGCATTCGCCTGATCCAGACGGGGCAGACCCAGAGAACAGCTAGAAGGTGGCTGTGAAGGGCAGCAGAGCCTGCTGGTGGTGCCACCCGTCCCTGC